GCTACATTGCACTACTGGGAGAGATGGACAGGCTTCAAGAAGCAGATATGATATGGAACTCAATTATGTTGCCAAGACATAGGTTTATAGTGTGGTTGGCTAGTCAAGATAAATTGCTTACAAAGGAAAGGATGGAAAGGCTGCATATCCAAGTGGAGGATACGACATGCTGTCCATGCACTGATAGTAAGAGGGAAATACATAAGCATTTATTTCATGAATGTAGCTGGATACTGGAAGTAAAAGAATCACTGAAAAAATGGACGGGCATCAGAACACAAAAGCAAGATACTATGAAATGCTTAAAATGGATCAAGGGGAGGCACTGGAAACAATTCAAGAAGGAAATAGCAGCTGCATTACTGGGAGCAAGAATTTATCATACTTGGCAGGCGAGGAACTGAAAGCAATTCAGAGGGACATATATTACTACAAATATAGCAACAGAACAAATGAAGAAAGAAATAGTGGAGAGAATAGAATGTAGGAAAAACTCTAGGAAAGCAAGCAAATATAAATATCTGATCCAACAGTTTTGTAACTAGTTGTTTTTTTCTATTCTGAGGCTTAGGAGGGTAGACATACTGCTGCTTCTCCTAAGTGCTCGATAAGTGTAAAGTTTGGTTTGTCTATGGTAATACATCACAGTTTTACCAAAAAAGAAAAGAATGAACCAAAACTAATTTCATTAAATCCTGAAGTTACAAATAGTAATCGTATAATAAACTATTTTATTTTCTCTTTCTCTTATACCAAGAAGAGACTTGTACTCATCTAGATTTAAAGTACATATGAACTCTATAGAATGGCCGATTTCAATAGACGCAAACAAAATCCAATGCATAAATTACGGTATTGTATTGTATAATTTTCAATGCATAGATTAAAGAATTGTTAATTACCTTCAAAATGAATGGATCGATTAATGTTTTTCTTTCTTTGTACGACCTTCACAGTGAAAATCAAGCTCTAGGACGATGGTGGTGGAATTGTCATTCTCCTCATCGCTAACATTAATTACTACCATATTCATTTCTCTCTAGCATCATTCATCTACTCTTCCTCTTATCTGCTTAGGTTTCTTTCTTTTTTTATTCATAACAGAATGGAAGTAATATTGAGAAAGAATTTCAACTGTAATGACAATAGAAGGTAGGGAAAGGATTTATCAAATTATTTGATTTGGCGCTGCATATAAATAACGATGATACACGTACGCTAGACAGTAAAAAATTACAATTCCAACAACACAAATAACATAGTAACAACAAAGAATACATCAAGCGCTAGAAATGTGAGTCAAAGCTTGCAAAAGAGCCTAAATAAACAAATATAAAGTAAATGACAACATACCTTAACGTAATTTAAAGATTAATGATAGTTGGAAAAAATATTTCAGACAGAGAAAAAGAGAAGAGGAGAGAAGATAATGTAAGGTTGAACTGTTACCATTGTTAGGGAAGTGATGGGAGAAATTAGAGAAAGAAAAGGGATAAGAGGAGGTGCAATTAAGAGAATTCAAGAAGCGACTTTTGGATTTTCAAATAGTATAGGAAATAGATGGGAAAATTTGAAGGAAAAAAGAAAAGAAAAATGTGAATGTTTTCCATGATAATAGTGATGAGAACGTCTTTGGGAAATAACTGAAGGAGAATCAAATGCCCTAAACTCTTACTGGATTCATTGCATTGAGTCTGAAGCAGTAAAGTATTATTGCTTCATTTCTAATTCAGTGGTTCATTTTTAATCTAATAAATAAGAATTATGTAACTGAAAAAAAAATTATTTAATTGAAGGGTTTTTTTCAAGGACAAAATGATAACTCAAATTTTAAAGGGTAGTATCGTAAACTAACTTTGAAGATAGGAACTTCCTACTTTTAGTATAACTAGTTATAGTTATAGCGTACGTGCGTTGCACGTGTCAATAAACTAAAATTATATACAAAAGAAACAAATTATATAAAATAGCAATAGACGTTATAATAAATGCAACATTTATTTATATGACAAAATAATGTTAACATTGAGTCAGTTGCTGAATAAAGACAAAACAAAGATACTCAATATGTTAAATAAAATAGGTTTCTCCTTTGTTTCTTTCACTTGTATGGATTAGATTCTTTTCCTTTTCCAATTTAAATATTTTACTTAGACGAATTTATCAAGAGGACTTCCAGTGGCATTGGGTTTCTGCTATGTACACAATTACTTATGCACAGTGGGCTTCATAGTCAAAACATTGAAACAGTAGAAAACAAATTCTAAATAATTCTACTCTTTATGGTAGGATCCCAAGTGATCATGGACATTTAGAAACAATAAAAAGCAGAAGAGAATCCTCTTAACTTATGAAAGGCATAGGGATATAAAATAACCAATCAATGTAATTTGCAAAAGAAATAAACACAATCACAGATAATTTAATCCACCAACCGATCATCTATAGTTTTTGAAGAGCATCAACTTATATAGCTGATAGCAAAGAGATTTGTATAAATCAACTAAATAAAAAGTACTAAATATCAATGACTCTATTTTTAGTTCTCTCAAAATATTATTGCAAAAATCCAGGTGAATAACATAATACACGTATCAATGCTAACTCAAATTCTCTGTTCTGCTTCTTCTATATACACGATGTTATGGAAAGAAAACAAATTGGCTTAAAAAGAAGCAGCTGCATCTTCGAACTACGATAAAGTTCATGAAGATTTTGGAATTGTAACTCCTTTTACATAAGCGTTTTCAAATATACAAAAAGTCGGATTCATAAACCAAAAAGAATTTGAGTAGGACACCATTTGTAGGAGACCACCGAATGTGAAGAAGGCTCCTATATGATCTGTACATGCTTACGATATTAACATAATTTTTTTATTTTTCCAAAAAAGATATATATTATTAGTGTTTATATATAATTACAGTTTTATCCAACTTAAAACATACTTACGAAGGATAAAAAAGGCGAACAACATTTCGATATGGCCTTCACGCTTTTAATATATTTAATTAATATAGTATAGATATATAGATATAATAATATATAATATAATATAGCATCTTGATATCTTTAAAAAGATTGTTATACAAAATGGTTTAGTTATTTCAAAACCAAAAATGAGTTTATTCCAAACAGATGTTCGATTTTTAGGACATAATATTTGTCAAGGAAAAATTACTCCTACTCAATGATCAATTGATTTTGCATCAAAATTTTCTGATGTTATTACTGACATCTTTACCATGTTTAACTCTTACTAATCCAGCATGGCAAAAGATTATTGAGACAGATGCGTCTAATATTGGCTATGGTGGAATTTTAAAACAAATTAATCCCAATAATAATTGTGAATATTTGATAAGATTTCACTCTGGAAAATGGACTGAAACCCAGAAAAAATATGCTACTGTGGCTCATGAAATGTTGGCTATTGTCAAATGTGTTTTAAAATTTCAGGATGATTTATACAATCAAAAGTTTTTAATAAAAACTGATGCTCAATCTGTTAAATATATGTTTAACAAAGATTTTAAACATGATGCTTCAAAATTAATATTTGCAAGGTGGCGGGCTCAATTAGCCCCTTTTGATTTCAAAATTGAGTATAAAAAAGGAATTGATAATTCTCTTCCTGATTTCTTATCTCGTGAATACTTAAATTAATCATAAATTTTTATAAAACCTTTTTAGATGAAAAAACGTTAATCACTGTTTTGAAAGTGGATAAGTTATATAGAGACTTACAAAGTCTTATAATTGATAAAATTATTGATAACCTTATCGAAGAAGAATTTTCTATTCATGATTATTCTGAAGAAATTAGAGATGATATGGAAGATTATTATTTATCTGAATAAAATGAATTGTAATGTTTGCAGCATGAACCCTCCGTGGGCCAGAGGTAAAGGCAGAGGCAGAGGGGGAAGATTATTCCCAGGAAAATTATCTTCATATGGAAGTGTAACAATGTGCTTTTTACGATTCCAAAAGGCACTGGGGTGATCAACACAAATATCAGTAGCAATTTGTTTGAAAATCAAATTAATTTTTGCTTGTACTCTAGCAGATTTTAAAGTATCGAATATATTCATACTAAATAATTCTAGTTGCAAAGAATCAATTTGCTTCATATCAATTAAAGCATTAATATCTCTAGTTACGGGATCTGTAACAAAAGTATAACTTATTTTTTTATCTTTATAAGTTGCTGTAAATCCTTTAGAGTCCATGCTAGTAAAAAGATAAATAGAGTTGATAAGAGGCGTTCCAAGTATAATTGGAGGGTATAACTGATTTTTAACCAAAAAAAAAAGAAGTGAGGAATGCAGACTTTATTTTGACAAATACGTGTATTTGGTAATTTATGCTTTATATCTAAAGCATGACCAGAAGCATATTTAACCATATGAGTGATTTTTTGAAAATATTTAGTAGGTACTAACCCTTCTTGAATGCAGCTAACATCGGCTCCACTATCAATCATAGCAATATCAGTTATGGAAAAACTATTATCAATTAATATAGTACATTTAATATACCATTTATGAGTAGTAACAAGTTGCATCATTCCTAAAAACATATCATGTTTAGGATTAAAATCAATAGGTTTTTCATCATCATCATTTTCAGAAATACCTTTATTTTTGTCATTAGATAACTCAGCTAGGGAATTATTTTTCTCTATCTGAGTAATCCTGTGATCACAAATCATTTGATTTTGTTTAAGAGATTTAATTTCCCTTTTCAAATTTTCAATTTCGATCTTTAAATCGTCAAAAGAAGCATTTCTGGTTGGTGTATTTTTATTATTAAGTCTGTTATTAATTTCTGACAAAGAATGAGGAGCAGAGTATTCAAATTCGTTCTTTTGTTTTTCAAAAGATTTTGAAGAACTAGAACTAGAACATGCAGCCAAATTTATAATTTTTTCACGAAGTTTATCTTCAGTAACTTCTTTTAAAGGTTCTATTACATTATCAATTGTAATGGTTTCATGTTCAAATCTTGAAATTGAGATCATCATCACAAGTACACATATCACCTTTGCAAGTTGTACAAGTATTATCAATAATTTTATCACTATCAGATAAATCAAGTAAATCGATTTCAGCTTCAGATTCTGATCCAGAAGTGTATAACAAACTATAAACCTTATCACGTAACTCATCATCTAGCTCTAAGGTTTTCAACTTTTGAAGCTTACAATTTGGAGCTATATGCCCAAATTTTCCACATTTATAACACTTAATATCAGCAAGATCTCGCTTAGACCTATTTTTCGTAAATCTAGTAGACTTACGATGGGCTTTCCTAGCTTCACGCTCTTCTTTGGATCTATATCTTGATCTCTTTTTCTTATAAGGGCTATCAGGGTTAGGATATCTATGATACCTATTCTTCTTTTTCTTGCTATGAGCAGAAGTCTCAGGTAAACCGAACCGGGTGCAAAAGTCTCCTAATTGAGATTTCTCCTTAAGCTTATCTATCTTAAGCTGTCTAGACAATTTTAACTCATTACACAAGTTTAATCCTTCTTGTGTGCAAACTCCTATCAGTTTTCCATAGGAATAATCCTTATACGGAATTTCACCGTAATTATCCCTTAGAGTTTTTCTAACTCTTTCAGCAAATAAAGAGGGAAGACCATCTATAAACTTAGCTTTCCAGTATTCATACTTATTCTCGGGTAACTCCATAACTCTACTCATAAAGGTATCTTTATACCATCTGAATTCACTAAGTGCCCTACATCTAAGACCATTCAAAAAGGTACGAACAGTCTCATACTGATTGGTAAATCTACCATTAAAATATTCTAATATAGTAAGAATAAGGGTATAAATCGCATCTTCCCTATTCTTTTGAATGGTCTTAGATGTAGGACACTTAGTGAATTCAGATGGTATAAAGATACCTTTATGAGTAGAGTTATGGAGTTACCCGAGAATAAGTGAATTTTCCCAAGTCAGATCACTATTGCTGTGACTAATAGTGAATTTTCGCATGTTACTCAAAATCCGGATGGTAGGATTTGTATTCAATTTGATGATAAGTCTACTATTTATAACAAACATACATTTTCTAATCATAGACTTTTACCTGCTATTCAACATATTTTTCTTATTGAACCAGTCTATGGACTAACTCGAAATCGTGTTGCTTATTTACATACTATTTCCACTAATAATGGTGATAAACCAGTAGAAAAGGTTAAAATAGACCCTCGAACTAATATAGTTAAGGTAAATGATGATGATTCTGATAAGGATATTCCTTCCGCATCCGAAATGGATTTCAACCCCAATAATGTTTAATGATTCCACACCAAATCGATTTTAGTCGAGGATCACTGGCAAGAAATTATATTCAAAAGGATTTCTTTAGTAATAAATGGAACCGGTTTAAAACTTGATTTTTTGATACTTATAGTAAAGAAGATTTAAATAATATTTCTCAAGAATTTTATGAAACTTGTGCTTTACATAATCAAATTATGTATTTTGTTCCTTGGTTTATAACCACTTATTTACCGCTATACATACAGGTTTTAGAAAGATCTTATAAAGATGGGAGTGGTAATATTACTAAAGCCATATACCCACCTCAAGCACCTTTTGTTTTACCTAATAATACAGGTATTACGTTTACTGCATTCCAAATATTTATTGATGAAGATGTTGCTGCAGTCAGCATCGCAGAAATTAATAATTTAATTTCTCAAAATAATTATTTAAGTTTATATGTTAAAGTTTTGGGCGAACATATCAGTTCTCTTGATAAAAAACTTGATGAATTATAAGTTTTGATAAAAGAAATGAGTGCTAGTAAACAGGTAACTGATATTGCCTCTACTTCAGGAAGCAAATCAGACGCTCAAATTGTCCTTACTCATGTTCAAAGACCTCCTGAGATTCAGGATTTCAAATTTAAATCATTAAATTATTTGGAAGAACTTCTTGACAAAAAGTTTTCTGGTTTGGCTTATCAAAAAAAATTGCTGAAAAATTGAAACTATTTATGATTATAAAGATGAAACTTGGTCAGAGTTTAATAAACTCAAAGATTTTATTAAACCAAATAGAAAGTATGCTGATAAACCCAGAATGCAAACTTATTATTATTCCCGTCCTACTCCTCAAGATGTTTTAATAGAGGAACGTGATTGGAATTAGACTAATACGTCTTACAGTGGTTCTGAAATTTATGAATGGAATCTTGATGGTTTAACTAATAGACAATTGACTATTCTTTGTCATAAAATGCTTATGTATGCAACTATCTGTAAAAGTGTGAAAAATACAGATAAGACTATTTGCAAAATGATAATTGCAGGTTTTACTGGCCAACTTCGAGGCTGGTGAGATAATTATTTGACTCCTGCTGAAAAGGCTATTGTTATAAATGTCGTAGCCGCTGAGGAAGGTGTTGATAACTTAGGCTTTGTCCTAGCAAAGAATAGGGAAGATGCGGTTTATACCCTTATTCTTACTATATTAGAATATTTTAATGGTAGATTTACCAATCAGTATGAGACTGTTCGTACCCTTTTGAATGGTCTTAGATGTAGGACACTTAGTGAATTCAGATGGTATAAAGATACCTTTATGAGTAGAGTTATGGAGTTACCCGAGAATAAGTATGAATACTGGAAAGCTAAGTTTATAGATGGCCTTCCCTCTTTATTTGCTGAAAGAGTTAGAAAAACTCTAAGGGATAATTACGGTGAAATTCCGTATAAGGATTATTCCTATGGAAAACTGATAGGAGTTTGCACACAAGAAGGATTAAACTTGTGTAATGAGTTAAAATTGTCTAGACAGCTTAAGATAGATAAGCTTAAGAAAAAATCTCAATTAGGAGACTTTTGCACCCGATTCGGTTTACCTGAGACTTCTGCTCATAGCAAGAAAAAGAAGAATAGGTATCATAGATATCCTAACCCTGATAGCCCTTATAAGAAAAAGAGATCAAGATATAGATCCAAAGAATTATATATAATTTAAATTCAGTTTTAAATTAAATTATATATAATTCCGAAAGATGTGTGCAAACTCAGTTTAAATTATATATCCCCATTCTATAAAAATGGATAGTCATACTGCTTTGGTTAAAAATATTAAACAACGTGTTAAGTCTTTACCATGTTTAACTCTTGCTAATCCAGCATGACAAAAGATTATTGAGATAGATGCGTCTAATATTGGCTATGGTGGGATTTTAAAATAAATTAATCCCAACAATAATTGTGAATATTTGATAAGATTTCACTCTGGAAAATGGACCGAAGCCCAGAAAACATATGCTACTGTGGCTCATGAAATGTTGACTATTGTCAAATATGTTTTAAAATTTCAGGATGATTTATACAATCAAAATTTTTTAATAAAAACTGATGCTCAATCTGTTCAATATATGTTTAACAAAGATTTTAAACATGATATTTTGAAATTAATATTTGCAAGGTGGCAGGCTCAATTAGCCCCTTTTGATTTCGAAATTCAGTATAAAAGAGGAATTGATAATTCTCTTCCTGATTTCTTATCTTGTGAATACTTAAATTAATCATAAATTTTTATAAAACGCTTTTAGATGAAAAAACGTTAATCACTGTTTTGAAAGTGGTTAAGTTATATAGAGACTTACAAAGTCTTATAATTGATAAAATTATTGATAACATTATCGAAGAAAAATTTTCTATTCATGATTATTCTGAAGAAATTAGAGATGATATGGAAGATTATGGGTGTAGCGTGAGTACAACCAACTCTTTAAGTAACAATAATAAATAGGGAACTGAAAGATAGTAACGAGCTATACAGTTACAGTTCAGTAATCTCAGCAATGAAAGTAGACATGTTTTAGTTCTGACAATTTAAGTCAAATCAGTTACACAGTACTAAATTCAGGTAAAAACCAAATACAATATCTTCCAGAAGTTTCAGAACAGTAACATATGTCCGCTAAGTGTAGCAACAACTGAAACAAGTACAGCCTCTCAGGGCAACAGTCACTCAATCTCTCTCAATAGCTCAAATACTCGGCTCTCAGCCCTCAGCCCTCCGATATGACCATTGAATTCTCCTCCGATAAAGTGACCATTGAATTCTCCTCCGATAAATAACCTTTCTGTAGGCGGAATACTATGCACAATCTCATCCAACCCCTCCTAGAAGCGCCTCTTAACCTCCTCATCCAAGCCCGCTTGTGGCATATACGCGCTAACGATATATAGGGTGCACCCTCCAACCACTAACTTAATAGACATTAATCTATCATTCACCTGCCTAATCTCGAGGAAGTACGGAGAATTTTTAATATATTTTATTTTTATTGTTATTCTGTATAATATTATTCTAAGATGAATTTAAGTAGGTGAACATGGTCACTGGGGATTTATATAGCCGATCTCAACTTATTTGGTACTGAAACTTAATTGTTTGTTTATTGTTGTTTTTTAAGCTTATTGTGAGGCTTTATATGCTGAAAAAGTTGTTTAATACTCCCTCCGTTTCAATTTATGTAAACCTATTTGACTGGGCACGAAATTTAAAAAAAAAAGATAAGACTTTTGAATTTGTAGTGTAAAATAAGGTTCATAGTTCCCATTTATTCCACTTCGTAATTTTCTGGTCTAAGTAAGGAAAAGCACTTTGTTGATGTTAAATGGCTTTGTAACTTAACATCTCCCGTGGCTCAAAAGATCTACTATATAATTAGCTTATTTTGTATTGCCTTGGGGAGTAAATATATCAATGATCTGGTGTCCAGCCATATTTTTGTCATTTTCTCCCCAACACCAATGATGCGTCCAACAATATTTTTGTCAATTTCTACCTAACATCAATGATTTGGTGCCTTTGTCCCTTTGACTCACCCGAATTTTCAACATCTTATCTCAAGTAGTCGGTAGTATATTCAAGAGACTATATATACTTTTTCTTTTTAGTATGTTTTCAAAATCACATTTTTATATCATGAAATCATTTAGTTCTAAAATTACACCTCCAAATATGAAAAAGGATACCATGATGCACAAGATATTTCGCGGTTACGCGCAGGGTCCAGGAAAGGGCATGGCTCGAATTTGTAATTTATAAGTCACACAAAAATAACTTTTCTGTTGCTCCAAAGCTCCCCTTCTCACCCCTAAATATGAGTTCAGTTAAAAACCATCACAATTTATCAAATATATAAAAAATGCTCACTCTTAGCAAACTTAAAGAAACAACTCGGAAGTATATTCAAGAGACTATTTCAAATTTAATGCCCAACATATTTTTGTCATTTTTCTACTTAACATCAATGATCTGGTGCCCTTATCCCCTTACCTCTTCACCCGAATTTTCAACTTCTTTTCTTGTTGAAAAGGGGAGAATTCATACATACACAACAACAGAGAGGAGAAACCATTCCATATCTCAGATTTTTCATCAATTAAAAAGGTTAGTCAACCATGATCTTAGCCAATCATGTTTAGCTAAACAAAGTTTATTTAACTGAATTTGCAATCATGTTTTCTGCTATGGCTTTTTTATGCTTTTTTCTTCAGTTTCATTGTATTCTTTCTCCTGATTAGGTTTTATACATCAGATCTTGAGAACTTGAAGGGAAGGGAAAGGAAAATTACAATAATGGAAAGAGGAAAAGAAATTGAAGGAAAAAGCGAGAAAGGGAGAGCAATCAAATTATCGGTATGTCATGTCAATATGTAGTCATATTATTACAACTAATGTTGACTTGGATGATTGTCCAATTAATCCTCAAAATACAATATGTATGTATAATTTTATATATATATATATATATATAAGGAAAGAGACACAACTCTTAAAAGTTACAAATATGTTTCTGCAAATTAAGAAGAAACCAACGTGTTTTTTCTCCACTCAGACACTTAAATGAATTTTTTCCAGAAAAGAGAAACTCTCTTCAACTACTGTGGAGGAATCCTTGAAGCGGCCTTCTACAGAAAACTGCAACTATGTTCTACAACTCAGGTACGATTTTAGACTTTGAAACTTTATAGTTACAGTACTGTTGACAACAAAATAGATCTTGGGAGGAACTTTGTGTTCTTGATTGTGTTTTCTTTCAAATTATAAACATACTTGTTCTTACTCATTGGTAGTAGTAATAAATAAGCATGCCATGCACCATCAAATAATAATTTTTAAGAATTCTCGTAAGATGAAACCTGAATTGATGATAATGGGACTCTCAACAGTAATTTCAGTCAAAAGCTACAATTATATACAATTTGAATTTAACCTTTTGTTGTACAGAATATGGTAGAAAACTACAATTTACATACAATTTATATATAACATGTATACAATATGTTAGTTGTGTATATTGTATGTCGTTTGTACATCTGACATACAAAATATATACAATTTATTTATGTCTTCTTCTTCTTCTTCAAGTTTCAACCTAAAATTCCAACCAAAACCAACTCGAATCTTCACCAAACTCCATCAAAATTGAGATCTAGTGCCCTTATCCCCTTACCTCTCGAATTTTCAACTTCTTATCTAAAGTAGTTGGTTTATTGCCATATATCTCATATTTTTCATCTTCAACATCAATTAAAAAGGTTAGTCAACCATGGTCTTAGCCTCGATTAGCTAAACAAAGTTTATTTAACTGAATTTTTATGTATGGTTATATCTGCAAAAATGTTTTCTGCATTGACCTTCTTCTGTTTCAAATTTGGCGTCCAACCTTTTGTCATTTTCTACCTAACATTAATGATCTCACCTTCACCCTAATTTTCAACGTCTTATCTCGAGTAGTTGGTTTGTTGGAAAGAGGAGAATTCATACATCATATTATATTATATTATATTATAAACACGATCCGCGATTATGGCTTGGATCTAGCTTATTTAGTACCCTTAATTTTAAAGGCTGGCGGTAGTCCGCACGGCCAGTAAGGATATAAGAATCGAAATATACAAGAATTTTTATAGAGTTTTATGACTGCATGGAAGGATCTATCCTTTTACCCAAGCAAGGGGCATGTCTGGATCTAATACATACTCTTATTGAGCCCATGTGTCTAGCGGTTCTAACCGGGAAAATACGCCCTTTTTTCAACATCGTTAACGGGCTGAGTCCACGGCTTGCTAGACGTAGCCACTAAGGCAAAGCCAATAAGAGCAGTACTAGATCTGACTGGACCACCATCTCTGGAACCAAGTCAATAAGCCATATTCAAAATTCCTTTATATTTTGATAGAGGCTAGATCTTTCATGGTTAATATGTAAGAGAAGTTAGATATTCAACATAGATATGAATTTTTTAGCCGGACATAGTCACGGCTGGGGAGAGAAATGAAGTAATTAAAGTATATATTAACTAAAGAAATAAATACCTCTTAAGGCCGGGATGCAAGGCCTGAATGCAATGAACTAGGATTTTATTTACTTCTGCGCCGATAAGAGAGTAATTACAATAGAGAGAGAGAGATTGACTAGAGAGAGAGATTTACAAGAGAGCAAGAGTTTGGCTGATGCTTCCTTTTAAAAAAAACGATCATATATATAGAAAAGAAAAAGAAACATAAAGAATCTATGCACAGTAAAGTGGGTCCCATATGTGGGTCCCTTATACAGTGTATTTACTGTGTAAACAGTGTATCTACTGTTGAGTGGGGTCTTCAGCGGCTTTACTGTTGATCACAGTCTATGTTTCTCTAATTCTTTCATCCGTTGGATGAAATCTTCCACATTTTCTACGGCTTCATTAGATAATATCTTCTCTGATTGAATAGGCTGGGAATCTTCTGCAATATCATCGTTGCGTGTTTCACTCCGCATCGAAGTATCAGATTTTTCATACTGGTTAATAGATTGAAGCAAGTTTCTTTTTACTTCTTCCAAATTCTTATTAATCATTTCATCTTTATCTCCTTCTTGAAAAGAGATTCTTCTAGCAATATGCTTGACTGAGTTATCATCAATTATTCCCTTCTGGGGAGTTGCTGAGTATTCTTGAATTTTTGCTTCAATAGAATCCAAGAGTTCTTGACCGTATAACATTTTTATTTTGGGATCTTTTTTCATCAATTTATCCCAGAAATTATTATAAAATATCCTATATAAGCAAAGAATTTGTTCTTCAGTGAATCTCAGCTCTGGAGTCCATTTATGAATTCATGGAATAGAGAACTCTATAAAGAAATATATTTGGTCAATTTTTTCTAAATAGCAGATATGATCTGCGTGGTATAATTCATTCACATCTAACGAAACTTTAGTCCATTCTTTGTATAACATAAGAAATGGGTCAGGTAATATTCTGACTGTTGGACCGTGGTATGACACCAATTTAAGAACCAATTGGGAATTGGTTCTCCAAATATCTTTGCTCAAGCAAAAAAGCACGGTGAAGGATTGACATAGAGCTAATACAGTTTTCTTATGCAGAAGTCACCATTAGTATATGACGTTGTTGCTGCATCTCCATCAATGGCCCAAACGAAATCAGGCATGTCGAACCTTACCCACCCAAAAACTTATGAGGGACTCAAGTGCACTACTGTTCCGGAATAATAGGAAATAATGGAAACAAAATACAGCAAAAGGTGACTTCGGGATCTGCGAACGTCGAGCAGGTATACCTTACAAGTCTCCGGCCGTACAGACATACCAACAAGATCTATAACATATCAACAAAGTCTAACTCCCGGTCAAACCTCTCAACCTTCCAAACCTTCAACTTTCCAATAATCGCTAAAATATGCCAAAACCTTCTACAAAATATACAAATGCGAATCCAGGCATATGCCCAAGTCCAAAATCACCATCCGAACCTAATGGAACCATAAAAACTCCGATCCGGGTTAAACACGCAAAAGGCAAACTTGGTAACTCTTCTAACTTAAAGCTTCAACAATAAAATTCATTCTTCCAAACTAATTCACATAAATCACCCGAAACCGAAGATACACACAAGTCGTAATACGTCATACGGAGCTACTCATACCCTCAAACCACCGAGCGAAGTGCTAATGCTCAAAACGACCGCTCGGGTCGTTACATATTTATGGTTAAGACTTATTTTCCAAATTAAAAGTATTAGGGAAAATAGTATAGAAACTAATACTTTAATTGATATATTCAATCAAATAAAAAAAACTTCATTCTATTCCAACTAACAATTCATATAACTGTTGCCTCAGTGAAAACGACTTTTTCAAAATTAAAATTAATAAAATTTTATCTAAGATCAACAATGAATAAATGGATTGGTTACCTTTTTGGATAACCAAAGTGGATTAGCTATGGTATCAATTGGAAAGATTTTTTAAGAAGAAATCAATTATAAGAGATATTAATCATAATTTTTAAAGGTTTATATTTAACGAAAAAATTAAGGCCTTTTATTGAAGTTTGGCTTTAGGCCCCCAACTTAATTAACCCGCCCCTGGACTTTGTGATGCAATTCCCCTAGGTGATAGCTCCTCATGATGTATCATATTATTTGAGGAAAAGTTGTTGCATTTTTTATGAGCTTCTTGTTTGTTGTTTCATAGCTAACGGAGCAAAAGCAGCCGCCTAGCATCATCTGCACATGTAGAGCTAGCTGCAAACAGTAACTACAGTTGCATCTATTCGCAAATTCATCCACCTGCACTTCTTTTTTTTTGCAGATATAGTACAAAGTTTGCAGACAGTAATCAATCCCATGTATGTTTCTTGATTTGCAGTAACATATCTGGACTTGAAGAGTAACAGATGATTTGCAAACAATTCAAGCCATGCCAAAAAAAGAAAAGAGAGTATACAATAACAACAATTTTGAAAGAACAATCTTGGAATACATAACTAGAGAGTGCCAATATTTAACCATAAGCACACAAAATGAAGAAAAAAGGGGGGAAAATTTGTCAAAAGTCCTGTGCAGCAGACGGAGCAAGAATAGCAGCAAAATTATCTACACATGTAGAGCTAACTGCAACTACAAATAAAGACCGGAGAATTTGAATTTTCTGCATTACAGGTGATGTTGCACCAGCATCTACTCTCTCTTCACTGTTATGTAAACTGAGTTCACATTGTTTATCAGTATTCAACATCAAGACTCCAACATGATTAGTCCATATTATGATAGTATTTCTCAGAACACTAAGCATATGCATCAGTGCTTTGCACATTCCCAAGACTAACTTTTAGGAAAGTTGATATTATAATGCCACTTCCTAAAGCATTATTCTCATGCCCCTTGTAATACTTTTCAATAGCTAGTGTCGTCAACTTTGGCATCAAAATCAACAATGGAGGCCTTGGAGATTCTTGACAGAGGAACAGAAGCAGCGTGCTCATCAGTGATAGCCACATTCAGTCTGCACAAGGTATTCAAAGCACAATGTATCAGTGAAGGAGGTGATAGCTTAGTGGCTCTTGCACATTTGGACTAAAAATTTCAGCTTCCCTTATATTATCACAACTACCAGTAGCGGTACTACTCAAATTTGACTGAAATACTGCATCTTTCCCACTCACATTAGGATTAGTACATTTTTCTTGCAACAATTTGTCTGAAGTTTGGGATGGGATATCCTGCATTGATGTATTAATAGGCACTGGAGGATTTTTAATAACACTTACTGTTGCACACGAGGCCAAATATTGTACAGCAGCACCTATTGAAACATTTTGATCAAAGATATAGCAGCCTCAACTCCAAATGCATCGATGGGCTGATTCTTGGTGCGAGTGAATTCCACCAGCCTGCATCACAATTAAAACTCTATGCGTCGATGAGCTGATTGTGATGGTATTTCTTGAAAGATATATAAAAACTTGAAAAAAGTTCTTAGATACATATATTTGAATAGCCATAAATTGACCTGTTGCCCACCAGATAACTTTCATGTAGTACAGAGGTTGCCCGCCTTTTGTTTCACTTCTTGCTATCCTCCAAATACACCTCCTACAGCACTATTCTCATCCCCTTGTAATCAATATCTGAGTGAATATTATCCCATCATTGCGGAGAGTTAGCAATCTCATGTATGTTTCTGGACATGAGGAGTAACATATGATATGCAAACAATTCAAGACATGCTGAAGAAGAAAAGAGAGTATACAAGAACAACAATTTGAAAAGAACCAAACTTTGGAGTATTTACCCACAAAATGAAGAAAAGGAGGACGGAAATAGCAGGGAGAATGCATTAGATGTCTAAGGGTTTATCTTTAGCCTCTAAAGCTGGATGTATTCCTTACATGCATTCTGCAAAAGAAGATTACACTGGTCAAACTCTGCTATATATGATGAAATGAAGGAGGTAATAAGTTCGTCTATACTCACATATTTTCCCAGGGTAAAAGGACTTAATCAGTTAAAAACAAGGACCTGAATATCCCCCATCATTTCTTCTACATCTTGCTTAATCTTCAGAGCAGATGCTTCAAGTTGAGGGCTCCTCCACAGTTCGATAATTTTTAATGAACAAATATTCCCGAAACTAGGCGGAATCTCCTCAAGCTTAGGACATTCCCACAGTCGTAATTTCTCAAGCGCAGGAAAGGATTCCTCTCTAACCTCCCACTTAGCAAGACTCACTCGCTGCAACGTCAAACATTTGAGTTTCTGGAAGGTGTCTTCCTCCCCCATGTTCCATTCTTCCCCCTCGATGATTGTGTCTTCAAGGTACAGCTCTTCAAGCTTGGGTAGTTTTGCTATTGTTGATAGTGAATCAGATGTCAGAGGAAACTTACACAAACCCAATATTTTCAAACTCAAAGGGAAGCGAAAATCCCACAGTCGATTTGCCGCTACAGAGGGTGCACAATCATTTGAATTTTAACTTTCAAATTCTACATGGAGGGATGCTAGTTCATTTAGGAAGTCCAATTTGGGGAACCAATATTGCTCTGCTGAGCAATCCCATGATTCCTTGAGAAAAAAATCAAGCTCTTGAAGATTAGGAAACCTTTTGAAAATATCCTCTGTGTCTTTCGAATAAGAAAGCTTGAGTCCTAATATTCTCAAGTTCTCTAACTTTGAGTCCTCTGCTACCAGTATAGGTTGATTGGTATCCAAATCAAAGAAAGAACAGTCATCTATGTCCAGCACTCGCAACTTTACAAGATCCAAAATTGTCGGTAGAAGTATCAAGGGCGGTCCGTCGTTTTCCACCAGCAGAGTTTCTAGATTCCAGAGATTAGAAAAAGACGAAGGGAGAGATTTAACTTGTGTCTTAATCTGTAGGAACCTCAAGTGAACCAACGTGCATATCTCATTCAGCAAAGAATCATTTACCTTGATAAAAGAGCCGTATAATTCCAACACTTTAAGAAGCCTCAAGTGTCTTAGGTGACATATATCATAAAGACGGTTGTCCAGCTTGTGTCCATTTATCTTCAAAGAATAGAGGTGTTTAGCAGAATGCCTTTTCTTTTTTGAATCGAACAGGACAAAATTGTTGTGCCCAAAGTGCTCCTTATCATAATCAATGGTTATTTGACGTGGCATTAAATCAGAAGAAGATGATGATGGAGCGCTTGAACTTATCAAGTCAAACAACTTTTCCTCTCTTGCTTTTATCAAACAAAAGTCATGCACAAGATCATGAATTTGGCAAGTCCGATCGTTACCTATTTCATTGAAAGAAATTACCAAGCTACTGGAAATTAAATTATCCAAATAAACCTCCATCACTTCTTCCAAACTGTTCATCTCTGTTTGTTGTACAAGTCCTTCGCCACACCAAAGATTTTTCAAAACAAGGACGTTAAGTGCTCTGTCCTTCTGATAACTTGCAAAGTAAAGTAAGCATGGCTTTAGGTGATCTGGTAAATGGTCGTAACTTAATCCTATAACCTTCATCACTTCCACTTCCTGCTTGAAAATAAAGGAATGCAAATTATTCAGAACTTCAAGCCACACACTCCTTTTCTTTTCCTTCCGAGCAATGACTCCAGCAATCAGATCAACCACCAAAGGAAGCCCTTTACAGTTTTGGACTATTTCTTTTCCAACATCCAGTAGTTCATCAGGGAAACTTTCTTTTCCAAAGACCCTTTTCTCTAATAACTCCATACTTTCTGCTAATCTTAGCAATCGAAGATCAAGCGGATCACTGTGGTGTTGTGCATGCAAAGCCACTTTCTTATCCCGAGTCGTCAAAATAATTCTACTTCCTTTCTCAACTCTAGGAAAATGTCTTCTCAACTTATCCCATGCTGCAGTATCCCACAAATCATCTAAGACTATAAGGTACTTCTTTCCAAACAGATTTTTCCATAGCTCGTCAGCAACATCAATATTCTCACTGAATTTCGAAGTTGAGCCAGTAACTTGATTAAATAGTTTTTCCAGCAGATCCTTCTCGTCATATTTTTGATATACTGTGCACCATGCACGGATGTCAAAACGACTAGAAATTGACTTATCATTATACACTTTGTACGCCAAAGTAGTTTTACCCGAACCCGGCATACCAGTGATCGAAATGATATCTAGTGTTTTTGGTCCATTGCTGAGCTTCCTAATTATCAAGTATGTCTCCTCTTTAAAACCTACAATTATTTTACCAGCTATTGATGACTTGCGCTTAACTGGCTTGTTGGGAGAGTTCACAACAATGATGCCCCTGTTCTTGGAAATCTTCTCAAGTAAATTTGAGACATCTTCTTTGATAAGATTGATCTTTTTTATGGCAAAGGGAAGTGAGAAAATAAGATGTAAGAGACCATTATCTCTTAAAATAATTGAATCAATGATATCTTTTGCCTCATATGCCACATCTAAAGTACGTGCCCAGAGATCTTTATACAATTCTTGTTCAACATTCTCGAAGAAAGATCTTATGAATTTAAGATCTTCTTTCACCAGCCTAATTTCTTCTTTTATCAAAGCAACTGAATAAGCATTAGAATTGAGCAAATCATTTAAGTGTCTAAGTAGAAGATGCATGAACAGGGGTCCATCACTCATGGGAAAGCAGAGTTGAGATGAGTCTGGGGCTTTCAGGTAAACATCTTTGAGTTCTCTCTTCAAGAATTTAATATTTTCGAGCAAGCCTAGAGTTGCACTGTTTGTTTCATTGGTACTCTCTCCATTCCTTGATTTCTCTTCCAAGTTGCAAGCAATAACTGATAAGTCCCTGGTAAGTGCTCCAACACGTGCTAGGAATTCAAACAACTTGCCATTACAAATAAAGTCCTTAGGCACATCAGTGAGAATGATTAATAGGAACTCTATCATGACATGAATGTTTCGAGCCCCCAAAGTGCTAGCAATAATAAAATTTACCATGTGCTCTTGTAGATGAATCAGATATTCTCTAAGAATGTCCGAAGAGGTTTCTAGGAGCTGGTTAATAAAGTTTCCAACTTCTGGTGATGTTGAAGCTTTTAAATTTGTAAGACATATGTGCATAACCTCCAACTGAGTTGGAATAATCTCCAAGAATAGATGTGCTCGCTTGAAGAGTCGAGAGTGTCCACCAATTTGATTATGCCATAGGAAGCGTCCTACTCTCTCAGCCATAAGTTGAAACTGAGGTAAGACATATTCAATAATTTCATGATCAACACAACCATTCACTTTCAATAAATGGAAATCTCTTATGTTGCCACATACATTGTGAAGAATCTCATATTCACTCATTGATGGAAAAACCTGTTTAGCATGATACTTGGATAGATGGTGGAGATTCAAGAGGAGCAAGTCCAACTGCTCCTCAGTCATGGTGGCACTTGATTCAGAACGATGACGTGAGCTGATACAATCATCCATATTATCCATGAAGCAAGGAAGGCCATGATGCATGTCATATTTAAACAACACATTGCGGCCATAATTTCCTGTGCAACTGAAAAAGCAAATGCAACATAATCTCCAAACTTTAATGGTTGTTTACCTTCTCTTCTTGGTCTATATTTGGCTATAGAATACTCCTCTTCTTCTAGTTAAACTTCAGGAGTCTCAACTTCAGGAATTTCAGCTTCTGTCTCAACTTCAGGAGTTTCAACTGT